GGAAGAGAGTAAAAGTGACATTTCCGTATACGAAAGCAATTTACATTGACTGAGATGTAACATTTGCGGTACGATCACATAATGTTTTTTTCTGTTTCGCATTAGCGAGTTTTTCCTCTTGCTTATTAATCCCATGAATGAAATTTCTATAAAAACGGAAGACGAAGTTTGTAAAATAGAGAGTAGCTACAAAAAATTTACACGTAAGCAGCCGTAAAGTCTAACTTACGGACGACTAGTTGCTCGTTTGATGATCATTTTATGTGTAAAAAGAGTTTATATGTAAACATGCGCGTAATTTTTTTACAAAGTTAAAGTGTAAGTGCCCAGTTTCGTAAAAATCTTCCAGTTTACATATAAAAACTTCGTCAAAAATACGTGTGAAAAATTTTGCGCATTAAAATGTATAAGATTGTCATAAATTTCATTTATTTTTGCCCATGGATATCCATCATGATAAACTAAGTTTTTCAACAAAAACTGGTTTAGTGCTGCTAGTAGAGATTGCTATTTCAATACAGGTAGAATGTGCACCTTGCAACAGAGATCAAGTTTTTAAAACCTACCTATGTCACATGATCAGCAAGTGTTCCTACGATGCTTCGTTCAGAAAAAATTCAATAGAATAAAAATATTTTAACTTCTTGACTAAGAAATCTACTAATCTATATTCTGCTTCATAATCCTTATGCATACAGTCAAATAAAAACAAAATACATCTGCAGCATTATGCAACAACAAGACTCCAAAGATGTCCAATAGACGTAGAATGCTTCGTTCAGAGGAACAGACTGGAAAAGTCTTGTGAATCTCTGAAAATGTTTTCTCAAGTATTTCACATACGACCTGAGAAAAGTTCTGCATAACAAGATGATTCTCAATTTATTTTCGACCAAATCCATCATACCGTAAATTGTTAGAAACCATTCATCACTTTCTTGAAGTTCTTACGAAGAAAAACAATATCTATTTTCCTACAGAAGTATAAATATTTCCACTACTTGACAGCTAGTTAATATTTTGCTTCTTTGGCAAAAATATTTTGATATTTTTCCGTAATTCTATTGTTTTTTATAAAATTTTCTCAGTTTCTCAGAAATTTTCATAAAGGAGAAAAACTGAAGGAAAAAGTGAATGAATTAAAAGAACTTTGAATATGAAGACTAACTGGACACAATGCTAACTGTCGTACTCAATGTATGAGTTAAACTGACTTTTCAACCAGATAGTGTCTTATTTTTCTTTAGCTCTGACGTGATCAAATCGATTCATTCCAGATTTAACATTAGTTCTATGTAATTTTTGTTTTCTTTAATAATTTCAATATATGTAAAAATTCTATTCATCTTTTGGACTGCAGAAATGACTGGTTGTTAAAATAAACAAAACAATAAGAAAAACAACAACAAAATAAAATAGTCATAAAGAAAGAAAATATTATAATCAAAGTTTAAAAACAGATCGGACTAAGAAGGTGTCGGATCAGCTTACTTGCAAAAGTTGACAATATTATATGAATAAGATTTAACATTTTCGATTCAAGCACTAAATACTAACAACATGAATACCTATCTTATATTGTACATCTTGTACAAGTTTACTTTTGTGCAAAGTCAGCAGCTAAGCTCTGATGTATAACAATATAGATGTACGATTTTGATCGATCAAGTTTATTCAAATAATCTATTAAATGTTCTTTATCACCAAGCAAAACTGGTTGATTTAATTTTGAATCTAAATTATAATAAGTACCGTCAATATTTTTAATTGTTAACCAATGTCGTCCAACTGCTAATGAACGTAAAAATGGTAAACGACTAACAATCGAACGTTCAATAGGAATATTCAATAGTAAACCAAAACTTCTATCAAAATCAAATATATCAAACGATTCATTAATATCAATAGCACGCACAGTATAATCACGACGTTTTAACGCCTAAAAGAAAAAAAAATACAGATATATTTCATTAAAGTATACCTAATTTACATACCTCTAAAATAATTTGTAAATCATAGTTTCCAAGGAAACTTGAATACTGAAACAGAAAACACGGATGATAGAAATAGCTGAAAATTCGTAACGTTTAATAAAACCAATCGATTTTATAATACTCTGAAAAGATGTCGATACTCACTTCATTACGGTACCATGATTTATCATATTCTTTTACGATTGCGTCTAAAGAGTGTTTTGAAAAATCCTTCGCTTGAAATAAATTATTTAATGAGTGCAAACCACATAACTGCAATTGTTGTCTCTCATGATATGGCGTAGTTGATGATTTAGTTTTACGATGAAATCTGGTAGAAATCTTTGTAGTAACTGATGATGGATTATTTTGAATTTCCATAACTGGTTCTCCACTACGATCTGCGTGATTGGTTGTTGTTACAACTTGTGCAGTCTGATGAACATGTCGATGTCGGATATCATCGTTTGTTGTACGATAAGTCTTTTCCTCACTTGATGCTAAGTTGTCTGTTGTTATCTGTTGTTTAACAGCGTCCATTCTAGTAACATAATTGATATTCAATTTTTCATCAGTACTTTGCTCTGTCGCATTTCTCTCGCGCGACCTGGTTTTTGATCGATGAGCTGCCAATTTGAAGCAAATAATGATTATTAAAATAATGATTAAAATAATTAACGATAGTACATATAAATACACTTTGACGAAAAATAAATTACACAATATCTGAAAAAAACCAAAACGTCAATGAAAAGAATATTTTTGTGCTATAATGTGAAAACAAATCCCATTCGATCAAATCTGACAAAACTGCAAACAATTTTGCCGAAGTTCGATCACCGGATCAGGTTGAAGCTAGTCGGACGCAACAAAGCCCTTCAGTTATATTCCGAGAAATAGATTTTGACGAAATCTGACCAGATTGCATTAAATTTCATCCACACTGGCTAGAAAATGATCCAGAATAGAAAGAAGCAGAGTCTAAAGCTCTCTCATAACGATGAAGTATCATACTAATGGAAAACATCGGATAACAATACTCGCAGTTGACCATAAGTTTGAAAACACGATAGAATTCAACAAAATGTTATAGAAATAGCTTCTGTATGATAAGTTTTCCTTGCACATTTCCACTAGCTATGTTTCATACTGCAGTATTGTGCAAAATTTAGACTCACTTGTTCAAATCCAGTTGTTTGTTCACTTTCGACCACTGTACACTCTTGTGCAAAGAAAAATCTTTGTGACTACATACATTCGAGTATGCTCTATTCGAATATGAAACAGATTTGCTCAAGATGACTTTCAAGTTCGAGAACCGTATAATTATGAAAACAGTACATGAAGGGGCATGCCTTTTACACTTTGTTCGTCTGAATAAGTATGACAAAATAAATTTTCAACTTGTATTGGTGTAAAGAGATGATTCACAATTTTAGGGGATTGGCGTTGCTATCAGTTACTGTTAGAAAAATGGCCTACTGAAATAGAACTCATTGGTCCTCTTTGTAACTAATAGTCAATCATTTAACTAAAGAAAAAGCATCACTTCATAGCATCGACGATTTATTCGACCGACTGAGATTAGTCAAAGGATCACATTATGTTATATTTCGGTTTAGATATTTCTGAGACAAACACTAAGACCAAAGCGTTACAATAAACGTAAAAAGACAAAAAGTTGTGTTAAAGTCTTGCTCCTGATGTATCACTTTATCTTGTAATTGTTCACTAATTTTCATAATATCAATTCAGTCGAGAAATTTAAGAAGCGTATTCGGCCCTAACTGATCGCAAATTCGAACTCTCCATAGTTGGTTACCTTGTACGCAACAAATTTTGGGTCGGGATACTCCAGAAAAAATTTTCTCCATTATTTTGCAAAAGAAGTTTGTACGAAGTTCCTGGAGAGGACCAAGGGCTGAAAGAGACTAAGAAGTTTTCTAAAGTACCCCGATTCAAAACTTGTTGCGTACAGGGTAACCAACTATGGAGAGTCCAAATCTGCAACCAGTTTCGACCGAATACGCTTTTAAAATTTCGTGACTGAATTGATATGCCTTTACTGTCAGTCAGTAAGGTGACACCTCCCACATTCTGATCGGGATATCAGCTATATCTCGATCAGGATGTAGAAAAAAGTTAATATCCCGATCGGAATAAGGCACAAAATCGCGTAGTAAAAACGATTAAGAGAAAAACGACGACGTTATGGGAAAAAATTGACCTGACCATTAGAAAACTACATCGGATTCTGTTGTGTTTGATTAAAACTCTGTCAAGCACCCTGCAACTATTTTTTCGAACAAAAAATTTTAACAAATTTTAGTCGAATTTATATCCCGGGCGGAAAATAGGAGGTTAACCTTTTATTGCTCGGAATTCTTGGATATCCTTTTCTTTGTATGGATGCTTCCTAAAATGAATAGAAATTTCTGGCATCTATAAAAACTTTGCTGCATTTCAAAGATGCTTTTAAAGCTAGTCAAGTGCGGTGAACTGGCATGTGCAAGTTCTGATTATATTTCCCAAAAATAAACATTGGTTTTCGTATCATATATTTATTAACCGTTGGAAAGTTTAGAGAACAATAACAAGAAAAATGGATCATTTTTACTTCATTGGATGAAATAGCCTTCCATATGCGTGCATCGCAGCCCATATCGTTGTGTGGAGTTTTGTCAGCTTGCTGTTCCGTTATGAATACATGATACTCACTGGAAACCTTTGCACTTCTTGGACTTTGATCAAGCAATCGTCTGCAATAATACAAATAACACAACATAAAACATGTGCGGAAAGCTAATTATACTTGTAAAAATACGTATTGTTCTCTTTCTTTTTTCTTATTTAGGACCCTCAACAGAACAGAATGTCATGCAGAATTCTGAAGCGCAGGGTAGGACACAGGTCGTCCTGAGTAATTTTTTCGCCTATGAAAAAAAACGATATGCCAGCCAAAACAATTTCTTTGAATATATTCAAGAAATTGTTTTGGCTATCCATCATGCAAGATAGAAGACAATTCAGTTTTTTCTCCGTCAATCTTGCAAATAAGTCTTAAATCCTTTCTGAAGAAGTTACATTAAAATAAGCTCATTATCGGATCTGTTTTCATTAACAGAAACGTGAATCCGACGTTTGTAGAAGAAAACGTTGTGTTCCAACGTCTGAAACGTAAGTAGTCTCAAAGAAAGTTTATATCTTGAGCAGACGTTGCAAGATTCTCTATCCAACAAATTGTTTGACAAATCTTATCAAGATCTTGAAGCAGATTTTAGCAGAATCCGATCTTCACCATCTTGAACCAAACCTTGGTTAACGGTTTTCGAAACAAGTATATGGCAAAATTTTATCAAGATTTGTTCACGCCTTGTACAAGTTTCTTGAACTTAGTTATTTTTTTAATTAATTTTAAAATTTAAGATTTTGTTAACCCTGAATAATAAGTTTTATTGCTCAATAAAGAGGAAACGAAAGTGCTAAACCTTCACCCTCCTCTTTCTCCAAGTTTCGAACTTTAGAGATGAGATCACTTCTTTCTAAACGTCTTTTTAAAACCTTTTTATATACAGTTTCAAATCGTAAGTAATCAAAAAAAAGGATTAACTTCACCCTAGAGCATTGGGTGACTAGCTCCACTCACAGTTCTCTGGAAACAGTTATCGAATGACCGGTTGAAAATATTTTTTTGAAATTTTGAAAATCTCGATCCTAACTTTCTGTTTTTCGGAACTCCGGCTCTTGGCATTTCTAAAACTATTATATTCGAATAGAGGATCATTTTTTACCTCTAAGATTGAAAAACAGCATCTGTTTATTAGTTTTCGTTCAAAAGTTATGAAGTACTGTAAAACGGATATCAAATTATAGGTAAGCCAAAGTAGCCGAGTGGATTTATAGACATGTAGGTTCGTAAGCTGAAGTTATAAGGAGACCTAAGTCCTGAGTTCGATCCTCAGCTGTGGAATGCGCTTTTTTTTTTCTCAGAATCTTTGTTCAATCTTGAGCAGATCTACTTTCAAAATCTCATCAAGATAAGAATCTTGAAACTTCTGTTGGACATCTTGATCATGTAAAATTTTTGGAGATTCTTGACGACGATCCAGAAATCTGTCCAAGATCTTCACAGATTCGTCAAGAATCTTGAGAAAACTTGCGAAATTTGGTCAAGATTGACCTCTTGTGGGTGTAGCGCTTTGTTATCTTTTATAGATATTTAATAAACAATTGTTGCCATTATTGTTAGTCACACGGCACGTATGATACTGATGATGAAAATGATGAAGAAGAATAGCAATCAAACACACGCGCTCTCCTATACGCAAGCGTTCTCTGTAATATATATGTTTCTATGTTGAATGTTTTGCCTTGATATGGAACTTTATATTCATTTGAGTTTCAATATTTAGGATATCAAAGTATGTACGGAAAAGTATTTTTCTTCCATGTGTATGTCAGTGAGACTGAAGAAAAATGTCTTATTTTTACCGTCTGAAGTACGAGAAATCACTCACCACTTTTGTTTCGCATTGACTGCTTGTATATAGAGAACCGAGAATTTAATGAAATAGACTTAGAATATTATCACTTTTCCGTTACAAAATAGCAATAACAGTTAGTTTGAAACTACTGACCCACTCTTATGAGCTTAGCTTAACATTCAAACTACTATGAAAAATAAGATATAAATTTATCGGTCTTAAAATAAGACCCCATAAGTCGATTGACAATTAGACCCATACGTAGCTACGTATGGGTCTAATTGTCAACCGACTTATGATCATCCGTCTTATTTTGGGACCTACGCGTAGGTCCCAAAATAAGACGGATGACGATAAGACTGATCAAAAGGTCTTATTTTGAGACCTATATATGGGTCTAACCGGCAACCGACTTATGAGATCTTATTTTAAGATGTTTTTTTTAGAATGTATCAATAATATAAAAGGATTTGGTCACATCATCGTGCCTAAAAATAACGCAATGTTGCTTCTAGAACAAAAGCTTTGAATATTGTACGAAGACCTTATAACCAGCGATGTATGCAGGATTTTTCTAAGGAGGACCAAAAAATGTTTTTTCTCTATATCTTCAGTAATTTTTAGGAAAGTTTTTCTTTTTTGGAAAATTTTTACTCAAAGTCTCTGTTTTTTCTTTCTGTAGTTGAAATTTAGGTCTGGTTCCCTCTGTTCGTCAAATTTTTCTCGTAATTCATACAGAATGCATCCCTATCCTAGAAGTGATTCATTTTTTTTAAAATTCTAATCAGTCATTTGGAAATTTGTTATTATTGCATTAAGCTTTTCTCAAAGTCGATATTTTTGACGAAAATCGACACTTCTGACCCAGTGAGGGGTAACTTAAATAAATAAAATAGAATGTAAACATTTCATTTGGGTAAAACTAAGCACTATTATTTCGCACAAACAACTTACTCTTCAATCCAATCTTTTATCCGAAATATATTTTAATGAAGAGCCGAAAAAAAGAATTGAGAAGAAAGAAGAATGATTAACATTATTATTAATACTGTCAAG